ATAAGAATTAAAATTGTTAATTTGAATGTTTGAAATATGACACACGATAGGGGTCATGTTTCATAATGGATTTTTGATAATGGACGCCTCTAGTGTCCATTATCAAACGGTTACGGGACGGACAGACCCGTTGAATGGGTTATATATATAGATGTTATATTGTATGCCGAGGCCGCAGTTCCCCATAGGCTTAAACTTATACTTTCACCCCAGGGGTTAGGTTTACCCTAGGTAGCCAAGACGGCGGCGGCTCCGCCGCGAAAAAGGAAGAAATTTTGTTGTTCTCTGGAAAGGAAGAAACTTTGTTGTTCTCTATTGTTCGTCGGATTCTCTTTTGCGATGACGACATTTTGTTTTTCCGGACGTAGACTTCTTTTTACTCGTGCACTTTCTTTTGGAAGTAACGTTTGTTTTTTTGTCGATTTTATACGTTGCATTGGCTTTGTTTCCGCCGTTTTTTTCCCCTTTTTGTTGTTGTTGTTTTTTTCGCTTCCTTGTCGCTTGTCGAAACTGGAGAGACAGCGGGTAGACTCTCGGGTTCTTTCCGCGTTTTTGCTGTTTTTCCGGAACCAGGATATACGTTGCGCATATGCTTAACGAATGCGTAAAACTTTTCACCGGGGTTTTTCGATGGCCAATTCGAGAACTTTTTGTACGCGAACGAATACAGGTGGGAGTCGGACGGATCCTCCGTGTAGTGTCTTGGCAAATTCTTCTTGTTCTTCAAATAACCCCGCAGTCTTTCGATCTTTTGGGTGTGCACCCCGGTTTTCGGATTGATGGAATTTTCCGAACGGTTGACTGTTCTGTGTTCGATGTCTAGTCCTTCCAGTTCGTCTGCGTTGCTGTAACCTTTCCGTTCGTTCGTGCGAACCGTGCTTCCGGAATTGACAGATTTATAAACGATCCAATTTAGAGCGGTTTCGGAACTACACATTCTACGAACGTCCTCGACATGCCGAATGTCTAAACCTGCGGCAAATTCGAAGTCGCTACCACCAATATCGGCACATAAACCTAAATTAGCATATTCCGATTCTAAAAGTCGACAAAACTGCCCACTCGTGCACTTTGACCGAAATCCTTCTTCGCTATTAATTTCTAAATTTACCATTATTAGAAATATTAAAAAAATTGATTTGAATCGCACAAACCTCTCCCTTTTTTTCCTTTTTTCTTTTTGAATTCCTAAATCTCTTTTTGCTTTTGCGTCACCAAACTCACCCACAAACGCACGTTACCGTCCGATAATAATTTGCATAATTAATCCGTCACAAATATCTAAACAGCGCCCTCTACGTCAACCGTCACCTAGCGATCTTATCCGAGGCTACAGGAAGCGCCGTCATCTTGGCTACCTAGGGTAAATATAACCAAAAAGTTTAAATAACCAATAAGTTTAAATGCGCGTTTTGGTTATTGTCGATGGTCGCCATCTTGTTTGCATATGTGCATGTGCATGTGCATGCACAAACAAGATGGTGACCGGAAGCACCGACCGAATTGGCGACCGCCACCGTCTTGGATACCTAAGGTAAATCTAACAAAAAAATAATAATAATAATGCCGACAGATTGCGCTCCACACATTGGCGTAAACAGACTAACATGGCAGGCTTGCAGTTCTTTCGCTGTTAAAATAGTGTAAATTTCTAAAAATATTTGCAAGAACTTTGTTTCATCATAATTTCACAATTTCTATGAAATTCCCGGACAAAATTAATAGTTCACCTGGACAGTGAGTCAATTCCCGGACTGTCCGGGTGAAAACCGGACGGGTGGTAACATTAATTATTATGGTGAAAAGGTTACTAAATAATTTTGAATATATGTTTCCAAAGACAGATAAGATTTTGCTATTACTATTTGTTTTGTTTTGTTTATCAGATAATTATAAAAAATGAAATACAGTAGAGCGTCGATTTTCCGAAAGTCAATCATCCGAAAGAATTGCAGTCGCCAGTGCTGTAGCGCTTCAATCTTTGGCTATGTCTTGGGATACTCAAATATTTTACGTTTTTGATACTAAATTAACATCTGAAGTATAATTTTTTATTGTTTTTATATTTTTCAATATATTTATTTTGTTTGTACAAAATAAAAAAAAATAATTTTTAACGATACAATAGTCTTTGTTAGGCTTAACATCGACGAAAATTCAACGCGAAGCGACACGCAACGGAGAAAAATTCAACATCGGATACGTTAAACTATTTTTTCGTACATAAATCGGTTATTCGAAATATCAGTTATACGAACAACCCCAGTCCCCAATTGATTCGGAAAATCGACGCTCTACTGTATTATATTATGAACACTGCTTAAATGGCCATATTCTTAAAACTAGTGACTTTTAAGAATATTGAGTAATATTGAAAATTTTAAGAGCAATCGAATTTTCTATTTTCAAATTAAAAACTACGAACCGATTTGTTAGGAAGTTCATTTGGGACAACTTGTCACTAAGACTGACTCATCAGAGGAGAAAGAAAAAACCTTCTGTTTGGTTTGTGGTGAGGGTTTGGTCTCACAAGCTATGTACAGATGTAAATTCATATTATGTTTGTCACAACTAAATCTGAAGATAATATGTAAAGATTCGAGTTATTTGTCTTTCGCAGAATAAATAATAGTAAATTAGTAATCTGTTTTCTTTATAGAATTGGCACGAGTAAATGTCATATTACGCATAATTTAACATAACCAAAATATAAATAAACTCAGGAAATCTAAGAACTTAGACTACATATACCCCGTCTAAGGGTATGTTGTTTTTTGTGTTTTAGGCCCTTTACCACTCAAAAAGAGCACAAAAAGGCCCCAATCTAGAGGTATGTTGTCACAGGGTAAGTTTTAAAATAATAACTATGACAAAAAAATTATAGAATGTTATATATATTTATTATAAACCAAATCAAAAGATATGTAGGTGTATACATTTTCACTTAAACCTAAATAAATTCATTATAGACCCTAAAACTAGAAATATAACAGAAGAATAAAGATAACTAGGCCTGGTCTCCCCTATACTCTAGCAATGCTGGATAGCTCTCTTGCACCCGAATAGGCACGGATCCATGTAGGCCAGGGGTCGACAACCTTTTGAATCGGAAGAGCCAAAATTACAATTTACAACATTTCAAAGTTTTAAAGAGCCACAAAATTTTTTCTTGCCAACAATAAATAGTACTCGCATAAATAAAGTTTTTTGATAAAAAAAAACTAATTATTTATTCACAAGAAAAAATATCTATTCATATATAAGTAGTGTTTTTCACAACAAATTAGATAATAGAAACATCCGACGACGGCGTCATTCGAGAGCTTCCGACGGACTGACGACAGTGACGACGCGTGTCATGGGGGAGGGGTGCGGTGAAAAGCGAGTACAAGTGACTGAGAAATAGAATCAGTGCCTAATCCTCGTTAATCGATTCAGAATGATTTTTAAATTTTTTTTTTTTTTTTTTTTTGATAAAATAAATATTATTTGCGTATGGAACTAAAGAGCCGCAGCTTCACATCCAAAGAGCCGCAGGTTGCCGACCCGTGATGTAGGCTATAGTGTCTTAAGCCCTTTTCGTTGGGGGGATTAAAATTTATCTGTTCGAATTTCAAACATTTCTAAATATATTTATGATGGTAAATTTGGTTTTATTGAACCATACGCAATACAATCGTTTTGCGTATGTTAATATAACAAACTTATAATTATTTAAATGTTTTCATTTTTGAGTTAGTTTCTTCTGGATCTGCCATTGCATACTCTTTGCATATTGCTTTAAAAATTACAGGGGATCATCTTGTTGCGCACGGACTGTAATTACTTTCTTCACTAAATAAATTTACTCGTATAAAAATATTTTTACTTCAATAAAATCGCTATTCAGAAAAAATAAAACGAATTTCAGAAGGGCCAATTTGAGCCTCCTTGTGATGTCCAAAACGTTCAATATTCTATCATTTTTACATTTTATTACTATTTTCCCATTGTGGTTAATCGTAGATGGTTCAGGAACGTCCATCTTTCCCACGTTTCTGTCGAAATCCATCCTTCGTTATTAAGAAAATACATACGGTACGTATTAAATTACATATTTAGAAACTCGTTAACAGTAACTCTTTCACGGATAATTTTTAATGTAATGCTAAAATGTAACTTCATACAGATGCTACACAGTTATTGATAGAGAAAATTCCAATAATTTAAATTTTATTACTAATCACCATAAGATCTTTATGCTTAATACTGATTTATCATCATTAATATAAATTGTTAAAAAATTATTTTGGAAACAAACGAGACAAAAAAAATTTATATGCACAATTCTTCCTTTCTTTATTGTGAAGTCAAAATATTACAGTAAGAACAGACATTGAAATAAATTCTTTTATTGTTGACATTATCTAGAATTTTCAAAAATGTTAGCCAAAAGACTCCACATTTAAAAGTTTCATTGGAGTTTTCTTTTTCCTCACAAAAAGGTCGACATAGTTGCAATTAATTTAAAACAGATTATGAAAATATGTTCTTGGTTATTCTTATACGCTTACAGTTATTAAAATACTGTCGAAGTACGAAAAATTATTTTTGTTTTTATGTTTAAAACTTGCTTCTTCTCCTGTTTTTAAATTTACTTTAAATAATAATATGATAAAACAGTGATAATTTTTCATTGCACCAAAACTGACTCACCTGAGTTGAAGGATTATTTGTATTGCAAGTATGACTAGAAAATAATACCTTCTTTATTGAATGTTAGCCATAACAAAGATTTTGAATTTGGTATTTATGCAAGAACTGATTCGTTTTGGACTCGAGATCAATTCTTGACAAATACGTGAAGGTCTGTACCAAAAATTTCCCAAATTAATTTTGACAAGTTTCATTCTTGTGATATGGATTACTTTGTTCATATTTCACAAAATTTGGTTAAATTACTGCCAAATTAATTAAATCTCTTTTCTAAACTTTTAGTTATCTTTTAGAGGGAAATTCAAATTTTTTCTAGTATAAGATGATAAAATGTAAATTTAAAATTCTTGAAGAGTTTTAAAACATTTTATCCAATACAAAATCAAGTCGAGAACTTCTGGTAAAACCTTTCAGTACTCAATATAATCAAACAAATCTTAAAATTGAACATTAAATGCATAATAAACACTTAAAAAATTAAATATATTCCAACAATCTCACGAAGAATTTAATAATAATAATAATATATATGAAAATTATCCATTTAGCTTTAACGAAACTCATATGACTATGCACAAATATATAAATATATATGGGAAAGTATGTTATTGTTTTACAATATAAAGTAATTGTGTTTATTGGAAACACAATTTCTTGAGTATATAAATTATCACAATGGAACACACGTTAACAAATTAATAATTATTGTTGTACTTTAGCCCTTTGGCATTATGTTGTATCTGATACTGGCATCGAGAATGCCGAGAGTATTGTGAACCTTCCGCACGGCAAACCACCTCTGTAAACAATTCTATTACAGATAAATCATACTTAAATTACAATCAATAAATTTCTGCTTTCATAAGAACTATGTACAATTATATAGAAAATACAGCTTCCAATATTAACAGAATAAGATTTCAATATGACACGAATGCTGATCAACAATAATGCCGTTCAATGAAAAAGATAGCATGGACCACATACATTCCAACAATCATGCAGAAATGTCACACACACATCATACTTGTACGGCTCCAATATATGACGGCATCTCTAGAGTCAAATACTAATTCATATAAAATTAAGACATCACAAAAATACTGTTCATATATGTTATGCCAAATGCATAATGGAGTATTGAGGCTACTGTACAAATGAAAATCATAATGAAAGCTGTACAGTGAATAATGTTCGGCAAATTGAAGTGATGCTATAGCTTCTCTTCTTCCGTCACACCGCATAAAATATTCCCTCAAAATGGACAATCGTGTAACTCTTCCATAAAAAAAAAGAAGAAATTATGAAAAGTAAACGAAAGAAAGCCAATAGTTTTAAATAAGATGTTGTTCATGCTTGGATAGTAATGCTTCCAACAATTTCAACTGTGCTTTGACATGCTGAAATTTAATCAGAAATATTTATTAAATATTTATATTTTTTCATTTAAGACAAAAATTATAGCAACAAAACTTAACATACAATTTTTGTAGTCTTATATTTAGATACATTTCCAATGATATCTTATTACATTTTTTTAGAATTAAAAATAAACTGAACTTTTACTATATAATATAACTTTCATTATGTTAAAGTATTTATAGAAAATCATTTTCAAAAAGCATACCACTGCTAGAATTCATACCATTTGATAAAACAATACTAGAAGCCAATTGTTTTATGACGAGTTTAAGGCTTCTGGTTGCTCTGGCTTCTTTTGCTTATTCCTGATCCACAAATATTTAAACAAAAAGGACATAACAGCATTTATTTCAACCTCCTTACTCTTGATTTTGCCCCATAGACTTTTATTTGTTCCATAAAACAAAACAAATTCCAATAAGGAAAAGAATAGAATCTGTAATGACAAAAGTCATTAAAGACAACACAAAAAAGAAAAAAAAAGCTTCTGGGACTGATTTTGACAAATAGTAGATATGCTAGCAGAAGTGGGTAGGTGCAGATAGTATGGTATAAGAAGTAAACTCCATCTTCAGTGTTATGTAATATTAATAAAACCTGTGCCAAAAGTTCAGTATATTTTTGACTACTGCATATATAAATTTTCTACAAACAAATACAATTTTAAATATAATGCATCCAAAATATATTGTTTAAAGTTTTATTTTATTATATTATGTTTTAAATGTATTTAAAATCATATTTGTACATAAAAAGTTAAAATAATGTAGCCTGAAAATCTGGCTACTATACCTATTATTAATTAAATACTACATAATTAGGTACTAGAGGTAGGCATTAACCACCTTTCTTATTAAATTTAATAAGAGATGGCACTTAATGCTTATCTCTAGTAACAAATTATTAATAACAACAGTAAAGTAGCTTGAAAATCTGGCTGTCACTTGACTTATTACAAAAATATTGGTCTTTTGGATATTTGTACATAAAAAATTCATATATGCAGTTTTAGACTTAAAATAGTAATTTTTCCAAAACATCTATTTTAACATGCACAAAATACTTGAAATTCTATATTTAAATATTTAAAAGTTTTTAATCTTGTTAATAAAGTTAATGTATTTTACCTTATACTCTCCATAGATACTTTCCATTGGAATTCTGTCTTCTTTTTGCAATTTTCTGAAATTATAAAATATTTTCAGATCTCATCTCTTGAAATTTTCAATATTACTTATTTAATACTAAAAAAATTAATAAAATCTGCATACTCTTTACAAGTGCTCTCCAGCACACTGAAATAAACCATAATAAATTGAACAATGCAAACATACTAAAATATTCTTTGAACTATTCAAAAGTATAAACTTCTAAAAACCAACAATTTTTTAATCACAATATATCAATAAAAAATTTTTACTTTAATTAAAATTGTTAAATGTACAGAAAAACTTTACATAAAACCATATGTTTTTAAATATTTAATAATTTACTTGTTGCAAAATTATACTTTTCATTTTGATTATCAAGTTTACTGGGATCTAGTTACTGAGTAAAATAACAATCTAGTAAAATTTTATCATATGATACTAAATTTATCAATATTTTCTTGTGAGTTTTAAATTTAAAACATTTTATGTAACAAACATGAAAAAGAAGAAGAATTGGCAATTCATTATTTGCTACTGTCATTATAATATGATGACAGTAACAAATAAGAAGTTACGAAGATTATTTTCTTCAGATATGTACAGTCGACCCCCCTATAACAATGTTGATAATTCCGTCTTATATGAATTCCGTGTTATACGAGTCACTTAGATTTTACAAATACGTGAGACGTTCAAACCCTGGCACACGTATTTGTAAAATCTGAGCGACTCGTACAACATGGAATTCATATAAAACGGAATTATCAACAGTGTTATAGGGGGGTTCGACTGTACTATTCTTTTTCAAATTGATTTTGTACAATAGACCTTATTTTTTATGAACTTAATGCAAAATAGAAGTTTGAGATCATTTAACCAAGAGAGAAAAAGGTAACAATTATTCATAAGATACTGTCAATTTCTGTTTTTGGTTGGTATGGTTGACAAACATTATCTCATTACCTGCTGCTACAAACTGACTATGCAATAAATATTCCATTATAAATGCTATTAAATGACAAATATGATAAGATAATAAGATAATTTGTCCATACTTGTTTTTTTACATTAAAATACAAGTTAAAGATATATTAGAATAAAAATTGTTTAATATATTAGAGAATATATAAGCATCTCCATTATTATTTTTTGAAAATGACTTTATGTATGCTATCATTTCATCAAATCTTTACAGAATGACTATTCAAATACTAACTGAATAATTTATATACCAAATTATGGTGTATTAAAAACACTTAGGAATATTTAATTATGTTTTGTAAATTATTACACCACAATGTCACAATAAATAATTGCTCCTTAATTAAAGTTAAATTAATATTTAATTCTCTTAATGTGAATTCTTTGTATAACTGTCACAATGCCGGGCTGCAATTTTTAATCATATTTTTAATTTATTTAACTTAAAATATATGCTCTCTACCTCAAATTAGCAGTGGCTTGCCCCTGTACACTGCACTTTTCCTTTAACAATAGAGTCATGCTTCTTGTCTATTTAACACCTTTCAGGGAAAATTTTTTGAATTGAAATAATGTGACTTTCGGTTTGTATATAGTTAACTGGGGCCTTTTGCCCATAAGATTTCTAAATATAGTCTTATCTTTCATCTATCTAACTCTATTCTTCAAATTAAGGAAAGAGACATGAACAGACAGACAGATGACAGTGGAATTTATAGGTCTACAATTTTTTTTTCAAATTGCAGCCCAAAAACACAGATTTTTTTTATTTACATTACATTAGTATGAAATATCAAAGTACAGTTTTAGAGAAAATGGAATTTTTCTTTTATGAATGAATCCTCTATGTGAGATACTAGTAAAATAACTAAATTACTAACTTAAAACTGTAATTTTGGCTACAAAAGAAAATAATCAGACTATTTTTAATATACATAAAGGCAATAGTTTTATGTCAAAACTTTTATTAAATGTTTAAAATTATAAAGTAGTCCTATTCAAAATTATTTTGATATCCAACATTGGTTGGGTATCAAAGGAGAAACATAAGAGATTGCTGTTTTGTCACTGATCCTTTGTCCATCCTTTTATGAATGCATACCCACTGTAAACATTTAGTCCTGTTTTTTAATGAAAGACTTCTGCTTCATAAGACTTATGAGTTTCCAAGCCATTTTCTTTCAATCTGTGATTTACTGGAAACAGCAACTCTTCACTTATTCCTCAATTTCTCACAGCTTTCAAGCTCAATTAAATAAGACTGAATTTGAAAGACTGCAATCATTTCATATGGTAATTTTTCTTTGGAATCTTGGCACAAAAAGAAGCAAACTGTTAATCATTTTGAAATGACTAAAACACATGTTAACTGTTGAGTGATGACAGCCACGTGTTATGAAAATTTGGCAACAGGACATTCCATTATTAAACACAGAATAATAACCTTAGTGTGTGATGCACTTAGTTTAAAGATTTCACCTGAAGACAATCAAAACAAAGAAGCCTTCAGAGGTGCAACACAGAGCAATCTCAACTTTGAAAAAACAGACACCTGTTATATAACTGAAATCAGATAGTTTAATCTACTATAGATCTTACTTTTCTTGATCATTTATGATATATTTCTCATGAGTTATTCTTTTTAACTTTTAAAATAATGTTGATATTTTAATTCTGTCAGTTTTCAATATCTGATGAAACTGTCTTCAAAATGATGCATTATTTATTATATTTAGAATTCTATTTTTAACATTTAAACCTATTTTGGTAAAATGAGATGTAGTACTTTTGCACCAAGCTATAAAAGTGATAGAAGCTTTATAAATAAATTAAAGCAAATGAAGACTAGTGATATTTGCAGATCAAATCAGAAAACATCCTATCTATTCTTAAGCACAAAAATTACAATTTTTATTTTATTACTCATTGTTTAAATTTAAAACATGAATTGTTTATGTAAAATTTTTTTTCATTTGCCAATTAAAAAATCCATAATGACAGATTTTTTAAATAGTTTTATTTTTTTCCACAGAAATTAAATTTTAAACATTATATATACTTTAGGAAAAAAGTGTATGACATATAATATATTCCATTTGCCTTATGAATGGCAGTGAATATAGAATGTTCAAAGATTGTAAATTTCATAAGTATCATACAGAAATACTTACCTGCCTGTCTGTTTTTGAAATTGTTCTTCAAAATCTCTAAGTAAACGTCTTAATCTATGTTTTTCTATTTTTGCATACTGTTGGCGACGAATAAGTTCTGGTCTGGAATTTAAAACTAATTTAATAAATTTATTTAAAATAAATAACGGATATGCTAACAAATTTGGCTTACAGTGGGAGTTCATGTAAATTTGAACCATATTGTTGTACTTCTGTAGGAATATTTCTCAACTTTACATTATTTTCAGGTGGTTTTTCTGTTGACTTTTCTAATAAAGGAACAGTTTGTTCAGTAGTAACTTCTGATGAACTCTGACTAGATTCAGCTACTACTGTTGGGGATGTCTGAATAAAATACATAGAAGGTTATTTTAAATACTAAATTTATGTATTTTATCATTAAAAATTCTTCACATACATACACACATACCTCATTTTCTCTTTTATGTTCTGGAGTTTTAAAATCCATAGCAACATGTTCTAAAATGGGTTGTAGTTCAGCTAGAGAATCTTTAACTTTCGATGTTCCACTACTCTGATAACCAGATTTTGAAATTATTCGTTTTACATTTCGATAGCGATCATATAGTGGACGCATCAAATCTCTATCAGTTTTTGAAACAGGCCTTCCGTGAACACTTTCAAATCGAAGAAGTGCTTTCTGAATAGCAACTTTTTCTTCAACCACTTGTTCTTTGGTCATTGCCTAATAAATTATTATATTCCATCATTAATAATTAAAATTAATTAAATTTGAAAACTATATTAAATTTAATAAGCTCAAAACCTCTAATTCTTCTGGTCTTTCTGCTAACTGCCTTTTATCTGATAAACTTTTTAGTGTATCTTTTAAAGAATCTTCAATTGAATGCCTTTTTCTGCCATCCCTATTAATAACACCATGATTTTCAGCTACTTTTACTGTTGTTGTGCTTTTAGAATTAGGAAGTTCAGTACAGACACAAGGTTCGGCATAATAAGAAACTGGAGATTCAACTGACATTTCCATAACATCACCTTCTTCTTTTAAATCTATAAATGTTATACATAAATAGATTTTATATATGTTATAAATTATCTATATATTCTATCTAACATCATAAACTATATATCAGGGATGGCCAACACGTAGACCGCGGTCGACTGCAAAGGTTTTGAAAGTAGCCCGCGAAGCTAAAGTTGAACAATTTGCTTTCACTTAAATTAATGTTTAAAAATCTTAATTCGATAATTTATTCTTACAATAATAGACTGTCTGTGCAACGTACCCATACTGTTTGTATTTATCCTGATGAACGTTAACACATGCGCATATAAAAATCCTAAAATTGTTTGCTCATATTCATAGTCGCACATAGACTATATTTTACCAAAAAAGTAGCTCCTAAGGGATAAAAGTTTGGCCATACCTGTTATATATCATGTATTTCAAAAATGATTACAATTCTCTATGTGGTGAGCTGAAACCTACTAATAAAAAGTCAGACCTTCCACACTATTCCAACAAAATAGTTTAACAAAATTTAACAAGATCAATGTTTTTGGCTATACAGTAGAGTCTCGAAAACTCGGCACTCGATAACCCGGCAGTCCGGATAACTCGGCCACACCCTGGCAGAGCAAAAAATTCCTTAGTTAATTAATTTTCATTATAGACAGCTTTATGCCTCATAAAGTATTTTTCTGAGGTCTGTCTTATCAGATAAATTACTGTACACAGTGTATTCATTAATTTTCATTTTCATGTAGTGAAGGCTCTATGCCTTCATAAAGGATGTACTTTTCCTTTGTTTAAGGGTATTTGGGCAGTTTATTCTCTGTTGTATTCTCAAGTAAACAATACATACAAGTACAGTACAGTATTTTTTGAGGAAACACTCATACTTATTTTTTTTTTTAACCCCATTCCCGATAACCCGGCATTTTCACAAACTTGCCACCCTTCGGTCCACATTAGGCCAAGTTTTTGAGAACTCTACTGTATTAAGTAGCTTATTTCAGATTTTAGATATTCAATTTCAGACTGTTGAAACCTAAAGCAGGCCGCTTAATGTAACCGAAAACATTCATTTCATTAAATTTTATTAAACTGTTTTGCTGACAATAGTGTGGAAAATGTGACTTATTAATAATCATTCATTACTGAAAAATTTTAATGTTATTCTCTTCAATCATAAAAAATAACAGAAAATTATTTTTGGTTTTCTTCATTATGAAATTATCATTTCAATAGTTATATTGTAGTTTGTATAAATCATTTAAAAAAGTCATTCAAGTTTAAATCAAATGTTGCAGGATAATATTTTGTTTGAAAATGATTCTATAACTAAGCCAATGGATGTATCTATACTAATATTATAAAGAGGTAATGTTTGTAAGTTTGTACGCAAGGGCTAATCTCCAAAACTAACTCATCCAATTCAAAAATTCTTTCACCATTTACAATGGAACTTCAAGATGGACATAGGCTGTATATTATTCCGTTAAACATTCATATAAATTAAAAGATATCATCTAGGGTTAAGGCTTTTATGTCCAACAGATGGCACTACGAGTATGACGCCCTAAGTTTGTTTTTCTGTGAGGCATTATGCTTTTCTGTAAAGATGAACTAAAGCAGATCATCTTCTATCTATCTATATAAATAAAAATGTAATGTTTGTTTTTTCCTACCGATTCCTTTGAAATTTTGACACAATGCTGCATTCGAATACACACGTGTTTTTATATAATATGTGTCAAAATTTCTCCCACTGGGGGAGAGATGGACAGGATTAAGGCTTACTGTAAAGAACTCTGCTTCTATTTATACTATTTTAGATGCAGTTTTCTTGCATTTTTGATTGCGTTTTAACTGGGTACGTCAACAGAATATACACCAAAAAGGGATTTTTCAATATTCCCCCCGCAGAGGAGAGGGACAGGATTAAGGCTTACCATGAATAACTCTGCTTCTATTTATACTATTTTAGATGCAGTTTTTTGCATTTTTGATTGCGTTTTAATAGGGTACGTCAAGAGAATGTACACTAAGAAGGGATTTTTCGAAAAATTCTCCTCCCTCCATGGTGGATGTGTTATACATTTATAATAGATACATTTTGAGCCACAACAACATGTGGCAGGGTCATTTTCAAGATCATAATTTTTGTAGATAACTTTTCTCAAAGTAAAGAAGAATTGCTGAAATCCTTTCTAGATGACAAATCAGTTCATTGTTATCCTGAGAGGGGGCTACCATAGGAACACCATGCTTTTGTAGGTAAGTGTTGTTGTTAAAGCGGAAAAAGGAGGTGTAGCAAAGAATGTGTGCCCGTTCCAAAATCTGTTTACGACGTAGCTTAGTAATTAGGATTTATGCAAGTTGGTGATCAGGCAGCTTGACAATAAAATCATACTGCTGTTCATTTCCAACATATACAAGAGGTATGTTGACGACATCTTTATCCTAGGGAAAGCAGAACCGAATATAAACCATTTCATAAGTTCAATGAATGACAACCCGTACGGCCTCGCTATCAAATTGGATCGGAAGAGCAACACAGCAGCACATTTCCTGGATGTCAACCTTCAACTTGATGGCACCAGTGTAATAACAAAAGTCCATTATAAATCATGCTATAGGCCATTGTTCATCTCAGCCAACTCTGCAAACCCTTACGCCTACAAGATCGCTGCCTTCCGTGCCCTAACAAAAAGAGCGTTCACACCCACACCAGATTTGAAAACACCAAAGCGGAGTTGAAACACATTCATGATATAGCCGTACAGCATGGTTATATTGGAAACCTGATACACAACATTGCCTGCACTTATCCCACACAAATAGCCACACGTGACACTTCCAACACACACACACAGCAAACCTAAATTAAAAAGTTAATTTCAATTTTATTTAAAATTTTTTATGAAGGAAAAAATTTTTAAGTAATCAAACCCATGGAGTGTATTTACTAAAAATTGAGGAAATATGGTACCATGATCTCAAGAAAATAATGATGGAATTTTGCTTTACTTTCAAGTTTTAATTTTATCATTAGAAATTTTCATACTAGGACTTCTTATATTTATATTTTACTAACTGCAGATATCTATAAAGTAAATCCAATGGCAATGATGATATGACAATATTTTCATACATGTTCTAAAAAAATTTGATTATTGCTATCTTATTACTAAATTTTATCTTGATTATTTAGTACTTCACAGATCATAAAATAGAACAAATAATAATAATAATCAAATATACATTCTTCCAAAGATGAAGATATGTTTATTATTATTTCTCCTGGGAACAAAATTTTCCCATAAAACAAAAATACTTTCAAGCATGACAATAAGCAGGCCTAGACTTGTTATGGTATTTTTTATGAATGAGTAAATATATTTTAGTTGCTTATAATTCATAGATCATTTAAAATACTTCAATTGATACTCTCTCATATGAACAGTGTAATCATTTTTAAGAACATGTAGTAATGATAGATACAACCATCACTATCACAATATCCAATTTGTCCCATTTAAGAGAGGTCAGGCTTTACTATTCTATCTTTCTGATCTACTATGTTATTAAAGTTAGTCCTCTTTTATCTCTAACACATCTTTCCTAATAACTAATTCTTAAAACTTTTTATTACTGTTTGTAACTCTCTCTCCAATCCTACATTGAAATTTATAACTTTTTAACTTCTCTTAGCTCTCTTATGAGTAACATTCTAGAATTTGTATATATTTGTCTAAAACATTTTCATCTCACTACATGCATCTTTCTAATTTGTCTTTTTGTTTTTTTCATTGTAATAACACCTTTTAATATATAACATAGGAATAAAAATGAAACTATTGAATTAATATATAAGTCATAAATGATATAATAATAAAAAAATGACCATTTAAAGAAGTTTACAATACTATAATAATATGTTATGGTGCATAAAAGTATATCAGAACATAAACAAATAAATACATTACAGCTGTCTTTTTATAATCCGACAGGTATGGGACCAAAGTGGTATTGGATTACCGAAAGTACATATTTGACATTGTTTTGCTAGCAGTAGCCTACAATATTCTCTACTCCAACTGTTCACGGAAAACACACATGAAATGTGTGTCATCATGTAAGAATTGGGTGGGGAGATTCACGTTGCGACATGGTTCTGTGCAAGCAGACACATAACGGGGATGGGTACCTTGACGGAAGGTGTGTCGGACTACTGAGCATGTCGTATTACAAAACGTTGGACTATCAAAGAACAGCTGCTGTATTTGTTAAATTTTATAAAATATTTCTAAAATAATAGCAAATAAATGTCAAAATATATTATTTTTATCAAGCAGAACTTACGTTTTAGTTCTTTCCTTATTTTATTTAGTTCTGTAATGATTTTCTTCATATCTGGATAATTCATTTTTTCTGCATGAGATGGCTAATATGAAAATAAAAATGAGTATTTACAAAATTATTTCTATTTTTCATTCATTTTACATGGCAACTATTTCTAAAAAGAATTCAGAGAATTCTAGAAATTCCATTTTCTTTTAAATTGTTTTTTCCTTAACTTTAAAAGTTATGTTTTCTAACACAGTGGCATAACTTCAGATGCTTGGGCTTGGGATCCAAGTCTTAAAAATTTTTGATATCAAAGGTTTGGAATCCAATAGCATCAGAAGGCTTATATCCCATATTCGAAGTCATACCACATGTAAATTTATTTGATATTAGTCTCTTAGTTGCTTACATTGCATATTAGAACATCAAAATGCATATAAGCCTTTTATTGTTATTGGATACCAAAACTTCAATATTATTGAAAGTAGTTAAGACTCAGGCTCCTGGGTAATAATATTATTGATAATTTAATTCTTTATTTACACACATTATTGATAATTTATTTCTTTATTTACACATTTTATTTTATTTATGCATTAGTTTTATTAATGAAATTAGCTTAAATTAATTTTTCCTCATGTTTTATTTTATTCATATTTACTATTTAAGTGTAATTCACAAAGAAAGTTTTTTTCATGTAACTAACAACCAACAATCATTAGATTACTAAGGAAGAATATAAGTCTTATAATACTTTTTAAATAGCATTAACAGACTAATTATGAATCTTACTGTGTATTTTATCATATTTATAATACTAACTGCATAGTTTATAATATAATTGAGATATTTAACAATGTTATTTTACATCAAATCAAATATTCTTACTCGATAACCATGTGTTGCTTCATATGCTTCATCAAACTGTTTAATTTTCTTTTTTAAACCTATAAATATAAAGGACTTAAAAAAATTTTATAAATATAAAAATTTACACTTAATAATACAAAGTTTCTTTACCATGAATTTTTTTAGTTAGGAACTTAATAGAAAGAGTAACTGTTTCATCGTCTTTTGAGGAACTGTAAAATCATTATATTATTTTCTTAAAAAAATTAATTTAAAAAAAAATAGTTAAAAATTTATTATTTTCTTTTACCTTTTAATAAAATCTTCTTGTTCAACAGGAGGGGAAGGAGGAAGACTCTGATCAAGATGTTCACTAATGAAAGAAAAACAGACATCATTAAATGATGGAGAAGAAGAGAGTAAGAAGAAAATATTTTAATTACAATAAAATCTAAATCTTTAAAAAAAAGTTTAAACAACATTTTGCACAAAAAACTTTTAATGACTTACCTTCTATGAGATAAATAACTTTTATATGCACTTGGAGAAAGAGATGCTTCAAAAGAACTACAAAACATTAAGTCAATTGAATATGTAATAGTGTAACATTTTAAAGAATAAATATTACATTATTTCAAGTTAATTATAAATTTGAACATACTTTGTTTTTCTTAAATGGTTTGGGCATGGTGATAATGTAGCATCTTCACTAGAAGCATTTTTTAAAATAGGCCAACTAAATCTATGTTCAGAAGAAAGTTGTTCTGAAAAAAATGAAAATATTTGAAATGTTTTGTTTCTATACATTAAAAAGAATTCTCAAACTAACAAAGTTTATTTATAATGTAACTTACCCAAATCATTATTATCTGAAGCACATTCTGAAGAATAACTATCCCTCATAATATCACTATGATAACCAAATTTTCTCTCTATTAGATCTGATTTTTCCTCAGTGATATCATCTGAATTAGGCAACATTGCATCATGTCCTGTAGAAAACTCTTCCAAACTATTTGATAAATCAAACTGTTCTGAAAGATCAGAAGGAGATACTTTTACAAAACTTTCTTCCATAGATAAGGTAGATTGTTCTGTCTCAAAACTATCTCTTGCATTAGATGAAGTTTGTATACTTATATCATCATTATAATTCTTTAATTCTGTAATTTCTGAAGGAATATCTGTTGATTGTTGATTAGTAGTAGTCAAATTGTTATCTGTTAATGCATCTACTTTCTCTTTATTTTGATTTTCATATTTGTCAGAAATAAATGGTACATTCTTCTGATAAGTGCTTTTAGAAACTAGAAGCTGTGACCTTACAGAAGATCTCTAGAAAAATTTTTTTTAATTTAAAATATTAAACTTGTTACGTTTTTGAGAGATACTTAGTATGATTTCAGAAACATAAAATAGATCTCTATCAAAGGAATTTACACTTGAATGAAATAAAATAAATAAAACTCATAATTTTCAAGTTCTTTAACAATTTTGCAAAGGACTTTGTAAAATATTCATAAAAGGAAATTATTTTTTTTGTTTATAGTTTCATGAATACTATTAAGAGTAGTGTCAATGATTTCTATTAGTATTGTATCCTTCAAACATTTATTTCATAAATGAGAAAAATACTGATAATTGTTAAATTTGTAGTAACTATTAGCTTCATTCAAGTGATAATCCTTGTTTTATCAGAATAGCAATTATTATACTTACTGGAGTAAGACGTTCAACAATTCTTTGTGCCTCATGGAAACTAAAATCTCCTGAAGAAAGCACAGCTTGAGGATCTAATACTGGTTCAGAATTAGACAAAGTTTCTATTTCTCGCCTTTTTGGTTTAGGAGGTCTGGGACTATGGATTTTACTATCACGATGGATATCCAACGATATGGAATGATCATCTGTGACAAGCTTTTTAGAATTTTGCTACAAATATTAAGAAAATATGTGTAATTTGAATTTCTGTCTGAAATAATTTAACCTTATTCTTATAATCATAATGATAATAATAGTAATAAAACTACCAATTCTCCATAAAAATATAAGTTAATACTTTATTTATTTTAAAGTTAACAATTTTGTTTTTAAATGCACTTTCATTATAACAGCATTAAATGATTCAGTTCTACTAAAAAAATCTGTCAATATTTGAAAATAATTCTCATAATCCATATTAAATTTTTAATTTAAAGAATAAACTTTTGAATTATAATTAATTTTCAAATTAAAATAATAAGACTCAGGTTCTTAAGACATGATCATATATTAGAATTGCAATATATTTTTGCTCTCTAGTCACATCTTAGTTATGTGTCATACTAGTGATTTATTAAACTCTGATTATAAGAGTTTGTGAAGATTTATTTTATCACAAAATATCAAATGCATAAAATATATGTTATAAAAATATTGTAAAAAAAAATTGTAATATTTCCTTAATATAGTAATAATAAAAATTTATATTTACATGATTATGTTCATATTTATCAGATGACTGAAAACCATTTATATCATCCACACTATAAGCATCTGTCCTTGTACTTGCTTCTGAACAATGCGCAAAACTCAAAATTTCTTGAGAATGAGCATTTCGTCCAGGAATTTCATGAGAGTTCTGATGTTCTTTGCTCAGCAGCTTTCTATCCTTCCGTTTTCTCCGAAACTGTATAGCACCTAACAAGGAGTAAAGCAATACAACAATTAAAAGACAAAGTTTATATTTGAATATCGAAGCTATTTAGTTTAATTTTAAAACTAATGTAATGTTCCATGTATTATGAATATGAAAGTATGACTGATAAAAATATAAAAAAATGTGAAATATAAGCAGTAAAATTTTGGTTTCTTGTAAAAAAAGTAAAATGTAATAATAATAATAAATTATAATCAGTAAGAATTACTCATGTTTTATGAATTCAATTTTTTTAATTATACATTTACATGCAACATATGCTAAAATAAAAAAATATTAATACTAATATATTTACTGAAAAATAATCTACTCATTCAAGTCAAAGTTAAAATATTCATTATTATTGACAACTGATGATATAGCCCAGTACAAATTAAGCAGTAATGAACTAATATTATATGAAAATAGTTAAATTAAAAAAATAAAAATAATATTTTAACACTTGTAAGTATTCAAGTTTTGTTGTTTATTAATGACTATTCTAATCTACAGTATAAATTATCATTTTGAAATGAATAAAAATTTTGTGCAGAGGCAAAGTAACTGATGAAATGAAAACTCTTTCTATAATCCATTCTGTAAAAGTTATGATTATATCAAACTTATGCTCCCTTTATATAAGTAGCATATTATCAAGTTTTGAAGTTAAACAGATCTGTTCAAACTGTTATAATTTATTTCTGTACTGTACTGTAAATTATATCATTAAAATATTTTTAGGAGAAAAAATGCTGCAAATATTTTGACAGGAATGTTGATAATGATATATACTTATTTTATTTGATTATTGATTTAACTGAACTGATTCATACATATTTCTAGAAAAAAAAAAACAGAAGAAATGCAAATAACTTAAAAAAGATATAACAATTCATTATTCATTTTTATTATCCAGAAATTAACATTTATTAAATTTCAATTTTAATCTATCCGAATAAATCTTACTGCTTACATTATTAAATTATGTCAGTGTATTTATTCTGTTCAATATATAACTCAAAATAATTTAGTTTTCTGTATTTTATTATTAAATTAAAATACTGAGAATTTTATATTCATTGAAATTAGTTACTTCATGATATTTATAATTAAATGTATAATATGATTATGCAACAATTTTATAAATATTTTTACTTAAATTTTTAAATATATTCCTTGAACTTTCAGTGAATGGTATTATTTAAGATTAAATCATATTTAACAGTTCAATTTAAAGCATCAAATATTATCTTAACAGTTATATTTTAATTTTTAAAGTCTTATCTATTGAAAATATGAAGTAAAAATTACATTTAATATAATCTTTTAAGTTATTTATTTTAAATATTAAAAAATTATAAAATATATTTTCTAACAAAATTATTACTGTTTAAAGCAATGATTTAAAGTAAACCTTATTTATGATTCAGTTATATCTTGCAAGCATTACATAAATAAAGGTTTAGTTACCTTCAGCACATATTCCTAAATTTATATTGAAGAACTATTAAAAATATTAAATAACATTTTAATTTTTTTAACATTAGTATACATTCTTAATTTTAATAACATTTTTAAAGACAAATAATAAGTTTAAAGCATGCCATTAATGAAATTACTATTTCTTAAGTTAAAATTAATTGTATATTGATTGACTATTTGATGTGAGGCACTAGCATGTTAAACCTATATATTAAATAACCACAATTATGTCCATTATAGTGAATCTGATCAACAATTGGAATTGAGCCAATGTGATTCAGGAACTGAAATGATTAATTGTAAATGATTCTTTTAAACTTTTTTTTCCCTAATACATAAAAGTGCATTCTAATTGAAGGGCTCAATTTAAAAAATTAAAGTCCCCTTTCACAATTTCTACAATAACTACACCATCTTACATGGTTTTCAAAGACCAATCTACTATCTTAATGGTTTCTTGCATAGCAAACATTAAGTCCTACATTTAACACTTTTGTAATTTGTGATTATAGATACTTTACATTTCAAAAAATCAGCATGTCCATGAAATCAACCTACCTATTGATAAAAAAGATCAAAAAAGACAATTTTACAGTGTACTGCAAAAAATATCTAATGAGAATGCTAAAACTCATATAATGGACACTAAGTGATAGCAGTTATTGTAATAATTATAATTAAAACAACAGAATGTAAAGTTCAGCACACTGTCAAATTGAAAGAATCCCCAAGTATATATTTTTCTTTTTGTACAGAGTAGTGAATTTGTAGGGTTTATTAATGTACAATTGCATAAAATATAAAATAAAAATATGTTTCATAAGTTTTATCTTTGAAGATTTAAAATCTATAACCTCAATTATCTTGATAAAAGGAAAATGTGATTTAGTGATTTTTTTTAAAAATTGGGGCCTTCAATTTTACATCAGAACATAGTAAAAAAATTTTTGTGCATAATGGCAAAATTGCAGAATGACTTAACTACACTAACTGCTTTTTCTTAAATATTCTGTACTGAATTGGGGTATGTTTCATATGTCATAAAACACAATACATATTATTTATTTATACTCATCTAAAAAAATAACAACACATTAAAAAACCAAATACAATTCTTAAAATTTAACTCTGACACTTATAAACACAATAAAGTTGACATTATTTCAACATTCTGTTTAGTGGATTTTTAAATAATTACTTAAAATAGAATGAGTGTTATGAGCATAGAATATTGATACCATCTTCATAAAACTCATATACCAGTAGAACAAACAAACATTTTTTAAAAAGTTTAATTTCCTCAAGATTTTTAAGATAGATGTATGTATTCCAAAAAAGCATTAAGAAATTATTAGAATTATTTTAAATAAAGTAGTTCATACTTTTACTTTGTATAAATTAATTTTTTGATAAATAAACAAAATGTTAATATCATGATTTTATAGATTCTTTATATCATATTTATTTGATTGTACATTATTCTTGGAATAACTTAATCTTAATAAAAATATCAGACTTTTATTATTATAAGAAATTTCTAATGCAAGATTTCAGTATAAATTTGCAAGTTAAAAGAATTCAACAGAATTATAAATTTATTTAATGCAGTATTTTAAAATGAAATTCATATAGTATTATCTAACTGTATCATCTAGTGATAATGAAATGTTGATTAATTATAAAAATAATGTTTTTCCTGATTTATAAATTTTAATTTACTACAATGAGAATTACTGCAATATATATATGCACAAGACATATTTCATCACTATTTGTTTATGTAATATATTTATGTATATACAGTTGAACCCCCCCTATAACACTGTTGATAATTTCATGTTAAATGAATTCCATGTTTTATGAGTCACTTAGATTTTACAAATAGGTGTGCCGGGCTGTGAACGGCTCACGTATTTGTAAAATCTAAGTGACTCATAAAACATGGAATTCATATAAAATGGAATTATCAACAGTGTTATAGGGGGTTGACTGTATGTACTAAACTAATTCCAATTATTCTATAAAATTAATTACCATATTTATATTATAAAAACAACAAAACTTTCTACTAACCATTACTTTCTTCAACAGAACCTTTATCTTCTCCAAAAAGATGTTCTGTAATTGTTCTGTTAATTGTTTCTTCAACAAGACTAAATACAATACAAAGAAAATATTAACTATTTTAAAACAATTTCATTGTAATTTAACTTAATAATTAAAACTTTATCAATTAATAAATCAAAAACTTCCATTATATTTATTCCTTTATGAAAAAATGACAGTATTAAAATTTCTGTAGTAAATGTAAATGAAATCAAACATAGATATGAAATACAAGTTTTTGTTCAGAGTAAAATGTAGTTGTTGACTGTCTACAATTATTAGCAAAATTAAGAAGTTTTAAGAAATTAATTAAATTAATTTTAGTCATATATAATATAGTTAATGTTTAATTAACAGCAGTGCATCCTAGGTATGCTGGGATCTACCTAAACTAATAGTGCCACTTTTGCACTGAATTTTATATTTTATAACTTTATATAAACATTTTATATTATATAAATTGCAGAATTAAAATTATATATAATTTTAATTCTGCAATAGTTGCATTTTTACAGATTTTGAAGTATCAAAATTATGAATGATAAAGCATAATTTTTGTAATGCAAGTTTAACTGAATTTTTTTATACAGGTTGAATCAAAATAAAATTATGCAAAACTTACAATGCAAGTGATGAAGCTGTTAATACAATAGCATATACAGGTAACCCCCGTATAACACCTATAGAATATCCGTGCCGTGTTATATACGGCACGGATATTCTATAGCACGGATTCACTCTAACACGGTACTTTTATAGCACGGATTTACTCTGACACGGTTCGAGAATTGGGTAAAATCCTCGTACAACAGGAAATGTAATAAATTTTTACATACTTAAGTACTAATAGTTCACGAAAATAATAATTTTCGTGAACTATTAGTACTTAAGTATGTAAATTTTCTCTTCTCGCCTTCTGTCGATACACGTGGTCCTTCTCGAAACTTGTTTCAATGTTGCCAGATCGCGACGCTTCTGCTTCTGATGTTGCCGAATGTTTTTCCCTTATTCCATACTTGCTTTATTCTTCATAAGTGCTTAGCACCATATAAGGAAATTTATAAAGACCTTTTAACTAGAAGCAAGCAATCTAAAATTACATACATTTTGCAAAAGGTAAAGCATGGATCTGAAGATAATGCAGAAAAATGCTCAGAGGATAAGGATAACTTGCCAAAAAGAAAACGCTCTCGGTTAATAGTGTTTAGTGATGATGAAGAAAACATTGTTTAATTTATATTAATATGTATCACTTAAAAAAATTTTAATGAAGATATTTATCTTAATTATGAAAATATACTAGCATGATTTTTAATTTTTGGAACCTAACCCTCCTTTTCATATTAGTTCTTTGTTTCGTATAACACGGATTCGCATAACACGGCAAGTTTTTGGAACGTAACTACCGTGTTATACAGGGGTTACCTGTACAGTATCACAAATAATAATCTTATACAGTACTGATCTTACATATAATTTTTTTGGGTAATAGGTGTTTTTGTGTGTGGTAGTGGTGTTGCATTCTGGCTGCAGTAGGTACTAAAATAAAAAAAGCAAAGAGCACTGTTATTGAAAACACATCATTACTTACTACCACTTTGTACATGCAAAATAAATTTATATATTATTACTACTCAACTGATGTCTTATTTTATCCCTATTTAATCTTTTAATGTGTACTAATTTATTTAGGAATTATTTCTACCTAAAATTATATTTATTATTATTAATTTGAATTTTTGTGCTCCTAGACCCAGGCCTAGTGCACCTAAGCTAATAGTAGTACCAGATTGATTCAAAAGTTTCTGAATACAGACACAAGATACAAAGCTTTATTGATGTTAAAACACAAAGGTCATTCTTCAAAATAAAGGAGCTGTGGTCTTGACTCATCTTATTGCAAATTGGTGGATTCTTCAGCAATACCGCTTAGTTGGTTTTAATGCCAAAACTCATAAACCCCATTTTTGACATCATGCACTATATTGAAGGAATGGTGTTGCAGAAAATGTGCCAATGATCGGAAGAGGTGAAAATCTGATGGAGCAAGGTCAGGGTAGTATGCTGAGTAAGGAAAAACTTTTATCCCCTTCAGCTCTTCTAACTTTACTTGGACCACTCTGGAATGGTGTGCCAGAGCATTATTGTGCTACAGCAGTGTACACTTTCAATTAAGCAATGTTGAATAATGAGTGTGCAGGACTTCAAACACTTTTTCCAGTTGTCAGGCATAGAGGTTGCTGTCCACAGTCTGGCTATTAGGAATCAGTTTCCAATGTACCAAACCATCCAAATTCCACCAATAAAGTCATATAGACCAAGACTTGTCTACAAAGCTGGTGTTCCCAGAATTGAAGCAACAGAACCATTCAGCTACAGTTGTCTTGACCTGGGCCTTCAATTTTGCAAATTTTCTCTGCTGCTACATATGTACTGAACCCTTGTCTCCAGTAGTAATGCCACGTGCCTCAAATTATTAGTTTTTTTGTCAGTCATTTTTTATTGTGGAAAACAAAATTCACCAAAGGAATGAACTCAACAGCTTTATAAAATAATAGTATTTGCTTTGATGATGATGCAAATACCAGCTCATTTGCATTCACAGCAGTTTTGCCAGTGCTAGAGATATTTTTCATAAAAAGTGTTGTCAGTGTTCGGATCTTTTGAATCACCCTGATAAATCAGTGGAGAAAGGAGCTATGAGCCACTGGCATCCTAAACTAAATATGTGCATTCAAAAGCAAATTTAACTGACTGAAGAATTATCCTGATGAATTCTTTTATCACATGAATCAAATTTGATATCTGTTATCACTATGTAGATTAAATCAAAACTGAGATATTTGTGCTGTGATATATAACTTGCTTCAATCTTATAATGCTCAATTTCTTTACCTCTTTGATAACAACGAGGTAAAGAAATTAGTTCACAATGTAAAAAATTTTTTTACCAATATAGCATAAAAGAATTAATTTGTGGTGATATAAATCTACAAAGAGCAGAAGACATTATTAGAAAAATTGAATGAAATATATTATACAGTAATACCCCAAACTTACACGATAGATGGGACCGAGCGGTAACTGCGTAAGTCGAATTCGCGTAAGTCAAGGTATAATTTCACATATAAATACATACAAATAATTTTTAATTGGGGCCGGAGACTAAAGAAAACAATAATTTATAAAAAAATGTTTAATAAAATCTTAGATAATACATATGTATAACAAATTAGGCCTATATTATTTTACAATTTTTCACATTTACTTGATTATTACGCCATAATTTTAACATTGTTTCCATCTCAGCGATAATACTGTGACGTTTACGAATGATGCTTGAATTTAAAGATTGAGCATTTTTCACAGCTTCGAGAATTTTTTCTTTGCCTTTTATAATTGTTCTGACCGACAATTCCGGTAGATCAAACTTCTTTGCCAATTCACAAATTTTCATTTTTGTATCGAAGTCTTTAATAATGGGTACGTTCGTAAAGTCAAACGAGTTAAACGCGTTAGTAACGAATCGTTCGAAAAGTCTAACGAAATAGGAATAACGATGACGTCATTCTCGTTTAACTCGTTCGACTTTACGAACATACCCAATGTTAACTTTACATTCCAAAGATAAAGTTTTTCTTTTCTTGTTTGATGCAGAAGAATTAGTTCTACTTCGTTTGGATGACATAGTAGAGTCTCTCGAGTCTCCGTAGATATAACAAACACAGAAATAAATAACACAAAATAAATTGTAGCTATGTGTCGATTCTGCGCGACACGTCCGAACATGTAAGCTGAACAATAGTGCAGGGGGAGTGAGTAATCAAGGGTTGCGTGGCACTCAAACAAAAGACGAATCGACGAGATTTGAAAATCGTGTAACTCCGGGTTCGCGTAAGTCGGGGTATTACTGTATAAAACAAAGTATCTTTTAGTGTAAGTTTTATTTCATTGAAATAAAATTTGATTTAAAAAATTTACTTTCACAAATAATCCTTACAATTTCATAAAACTTGTTTATTACATTCAGTACTAAATTGGAATATTTCACATAAAACATTTATGTCAATATTTATTAGAATATATTTTTTTGAGATAAAATTTAACTTTAAATCATTATAATAGTAAGTCTTATAGAAGATTTTGTGATTTATTCTAATATTAATATATTTTAAAAAATGATAATGCATACAATTGCTTTTTTTAGTCTGTAGATGTGATAACTCCAAGAAAATAAGTGTTTGAACCAATTAAATATTGCAATATAACTGCCTTGTTTCCATTTTATTAAGATAGATATGCACTCCTTATAATAAGAATAAATGATAAATTCAGTAGAAAAACAATATTTTCAGAAAGTAAAATATGGTGGGTTTTTTTCTTATAATTGCCTAATTCACTATACAATAAAATTAACTATTGTCTGACTAAGAAAATTATTTATAGTAGAGTAGATTAACTGTAACATCAATAATATAATGATGTATTAATTAGTTAACACTTTTCAAGGTTTTAACTATCATTATACTGAATTTTAATGAGGATTTTATTTATATTATGTAAATTGCCACCAATTTTTGTCAATGCATGTGAAATAAAGTCTTTAATATTTAGGTCAACATTTTTAAAAACATTTTTGTATTCATCACTCTTTAAACACTAGAAGACCTAACAGAAGAAAGTTCATAATACTTACAAAACCTTGGTTTTTTCTTATCTCAAATTCTCCATCGATTTTCTAACAAGTATAAACTTATTGATTCTTAACTACATTTCTTTAATATGCTATTTATACAGATTGAATGTTAAAAGACAAATAATTCAGATTCTGTCATGCAACATTAAGTTAAAAACAAATTCAGGGAGAATAATTTTCTTTAATTTTTTGAGTTTTAATATTTATTAAATACAATCTAAATATTTTTATAAAATTATTTTGGTCATTTCTAAATATATATATGGAATGCTTTGAATTTTAATTGTAAAACACTGTACAAGTTCATCGTTATATTTTTATTCTAGAATTTTATGCTAATGAAAACTTTGAGAAATCCTGAAAATAATCAAATATTCTTGAATTGATTAGACCTATTAAAATTTATTTTAATTATTATTATTTATTTATTTATAAAAATTTATTTTAATAACCAAACATAAACTAAGAAAACATTTAATAATTTATTTTTAATAAATTAAGTACTTAGTTATAAAATATACTTTTAAAAATGGAAGATTGATCTTGAAGTGGATTAATGTTTTTACTACTTTAAGAAAACTTAAATTAACTAAACTGAAACTTAATTAGACAGAATTAAAAGTGTTAATGAGAATCTACTGCTATCTATTAAATTTTAAAACATAGATACAATTTATGTACTAATATTATAAAGATTAGCCAGTTTTAGAGATAAGAAAAAGCTTTTTATGAATTCTTATAAATTGACCTATAAATAAAATAAATTTATATGGTAATTCTGTTCAAATCATTACCTATTAACCATAAGAAATGGAGGTTGTCTTTCTGGCAATAATTCTTTATCAGGATGAATCATTAACAATGCATTATCCACAGATGGAATAACAACAGATAAAGATTCCAAATCTGTAGCATGTCCAATGCTAGGATAAAGACTTGTCTAAAAAGAAATTCCTTAATATAATTTAATTATAAAAATTACAATTAACTGCACATATAAAATTAACATAAATACCTTTTGAGTGGCTAAAGTAGAGGACGGTAAACCAAGACAAGCATTATTGTTAAGTGAAATTAATCGCTCTTCATCTCCAAGTGTATCAACTCTAGTTCCAGAGTATTCAAGCTCACCATTAAATATATTGTGATAATCACTGATAAAGTAAGTAACAATTTGATTTGTCAAAGATTGTTCTTTTAATCCTTTAAAATCTTCTGCAACTCTAAAAATTCAGATAATTTTTAATTCAATTATATTGAAGATGATCTTTAAACATGAAAAAAATAACTAATATTACAAGTATTAATTAAGAAAAGTCAGTATGTAAGTCATAAATGAAAGCTGTAATGAAAGCAATAAGTTTTCAATATGTATCACTAGAAGCAGCATAAATCTAGTAGATGACAAACTAGTTAGCAGATATACATGCATATGATTGATGGTTATTTTCAGTAAAAATAAAGAGAATTCTTAGGGAAAAGTATATGACTATATTGGAGCATGTAATATGGATTTTTTGCATACAAAAAAAACTCTTTTTGCCCATCTTTTCAGTATGCTAAGAAAGGAAAAAATACTATCTTGGCAGTAAATATTTCTCTGAAGATGACACGATTGAAAATGAAGTGTAAAAATGGCTGAGATGACAAACAAGAATTCTTTGCTGTGAGTTCCAAGAAACTGATAAAGTGGTAGAACAAGTGTATTAATGTTATAGGAAATTATGTTGAGAAATGAATGTTTATTTCATATTTCACTTGTTCCATTTATGATTTATTTACTGACTTTTCCTTGTATTATTATTATTATTGTTATGTTATTATTATGCAAATATCATACTCAGCTAATACTGATGTCATGTTCTATGATGGACTCAAGTCAAGACAAACAAGTGTAATATTAAGTTGTGTTATTATGTATGTATCAATGTCTAGAAACTTCCTAAAAATGTGACGTGTTCAATGTTGCAACTTTCTATAGTGCCATGTATATATTATTATTATTATTATTATTATTGAAATGCTTTATAATTAAAAAACTCATATTTTATTTTGAAAGATACACTAACCGAAAAAGATTAGGTCCAAATACAATTCCTAATGCAGAAGCATTCATTCTGTTTTCTTCTTCATGATGACTAACACTCACCAAAAAGCAAGAAAGATATTTCAAGACATTTAAATTAGCTAATGGTAACCTCTGTACAAGATTTTTAAGCTGTTTTATGCACTCTTCTTTGCTTTGTCCATTAGCTAAAGAAAATAGAAAAAAATATTCAAGGTTTTAAACCTTATTCAATCATAACTTTAAAATTTTTTTAAATATTTTGCTATGTGTTATATTATTTTATTTATATTCACTTTATGTTAATATTTTTTTTTTATAATACTAACTTTTAGCTGCACTTAGAAAAGCTTGATGCATGGAAGCAGGAATTAATGGATCAGGTAATTCACGAAGAAATAATTTAAGCAAAGCTGCCGCTGAAGCTACATCACCTTCAGTTTCTAAAGGTGCATCTCCAGTTTGATCAAAAGATAATTTTAAACGTTCTATTAAACGTGCATTTCCACTAATACGAAATAGTCCGTTTGACTTTACGAACATACCCAATGTGAACTTTACATTCCAAAGATAAAGTTTTTCTTCTCTTGTTTGATGCAGAAGAATTAGTTCTACTTCGTTTGGATGACATAGTAGAGTCTATCAAGTATCCGTAGATATAACAAACACAGAAATAAATAACACAAAATAAATTGTAGCTATATGTCGATTCTGCATGACACGTCCGAACATGTAAGCTGAACAATAGTGTGGGGGGAATGAGTAATCAAGAGTTGCGTGGCGCTCAAACAAAAGACGAATCGACGAGATTTGAAAATCACGTAACTCTGGGTTCGTGTAAGTCGGGGTAGCGTAAGTCGGGGTATTACTGTATAAGTATTGTTTCTATGATATAAAAATATCTTATAATGTTATTATCGTGTTTAATTGTTTGATAGATTTGTCTAAGTAAGTTAAGTTTAAAACTTATGCATGTACAAAAATGGAAAAACCTGTCAGTAATAGTCATTAATATACTGTAATATTTAAAATGTTTATGTAACATTGTAATTAAATAAAAAATTTGAAAGCTAAATTAAATATCATTATTTATCATTTGTTAATAATATCTCTGTTTAAACAGCTGGACATAATATAGTAATGCATCTATTATTTCATTCTATTACTATATCAAACTGAAAACAAAATGATGTAAGCATCATTTCATTGTCAGTTTGATGTAGTAAATTANAATAATTAATATTTTGAATTAATTTAAAAACAGATGTATATTGAATACTTTAATAGTGTTATAAAACAAATTAATGAACATAATTGCTTAAAAATTTCAAAATTAACCAATTTCTTTTGAAGTACAAATAACTCAAAACTAAATGAACTATTAGTCTTAAAAATAGACAAGCAAAAAAATTCAAAAGGTAAGTCATGAACTTTTATTCCTGGTCAAATTTGACATGATAATATACCATATTGGATTCCTAAATAACCATACTAAATGATTTTTGAGATAGTTATTGAATATGATAACAGTCAAGTATTGATTAAAAATTCAGAGAAATCATTCTTTTATATTAATGTAAAATATAAATTATGAAATATGTGAATATAAAAGTTTAGCTATTGAATCAGGTTACTATTGTTTTCTTAGTAAATATATACCTGAAGACAAAGAGGCTCTTATTATGCTAACATATCTTATTGTTTAAAACCAATAAATTCACAGTCAAAAACTTAAAGTATCTAATAAAAAATTAATTTTTCTAATTGACAGCTAATTGAAAATAATAAACACAAAACAATTAACACTGAAATAAAAGAAATGAAAATGATAATAAAATATTAATTTAATTGAACTAATAATAAAGATTTATTTCATTTAAAAACTTTGATATCATTAATTTGGGATTTCATTATTACTCTAAAGATTGTACAGTAGCTAATATAAAGTAAGTAATATCTAATTAATCTGTGTTTATAGCACTCAAATGATAGGCTGGTAATCTCTAAAAAGTATCCTTTCTTGGCAATATCTGACAACAATTACTATTTCATGAGTTGGCTAAATAACAAAATTTCTTCTATTGTATTTATTTATATCTTAATTCACCAAAAATATATTCTAAAGAAAAACAGTTTACCAACTGCCCTTAGTCATTCTATGTTTTACGTTTCTATGTACATGTGTATAAAATAATTTAATGAACTATTTACTTATTCATATGTACTGTATATAAATTACATAATGCAATTATGTATACAGTAATTGGAGAAATTTATAATTTATCATTTTAGCAAATCTTTTAATATTGCTATAAAAATTTATAAAATGTTTATAAAGATTTCATAGAATAAAATCGATATTTAATATACTTTTAAAGAAGTGATATTTATTCTTAATTACAAAATGCTTTTAGACTGCACATCCTTCTTCAGGAGAACATGCTGTGATATTCAGGATGTTACAATGTTGTCATGGAAACATTCTGTTCTTTCTCTTTCTCCCTCTCTCTTTTATTTTTTTATTTATTATGCCCTGAAGATGGACAAGTAGTTTGAAAGCACTTACTGATTAAGAATAAATATCAGTCCTTTAAAACATAACAGTTTTGATCTCTTGAAAACATTCTCCAATTTAATTTTATAAAATCAATAAAGTTATATTTATGGAAAAACATGAATAAGTTAAATATTACATCTTTGGTTTAATTTGGGAAGCACTCATAAATTAATTTATATTTTTGACGTATTTATTTATTAATATGAAATTATATATTTTGTGCATTTTAATCAGGGTTTCTCCAATGGGATCCCAGGAAACCAGGCTGTGTTTTAACCTGGGAAATTCTTCTCATCCTGGGAAATCCTGCAAATTTCTTAAAAATTCACTTTTTTCTTATTTTATGTTAAAGTTGAGGAAATTTTGCAAATAGAGAGTATAATTAACACATAAACCATCAGAATACATTTATATTTATTAATTTTAAGCTTGCTTATTAGTTTTATAAATTTTTGCTTATTATGGCATGTCACAGATTGTCAATAATATGTAGCCTATTTGTGACAGGACTCTGAAAATTCTTTACTTCTCAGAACCTGTAATATCTGGAATAATTGTGCCTATGCTGTCTTAATTTTTAACAATGCCCAGTAGCTTCAATAACTGCATTATGCCAGATTGTGCAAATTGTGCAAGGATACAAACGAGCATAAAGTATTCAAGTATGAAGTTTTTCTTCATAAACCTGATTATTAATGCCAAACAAACTGCCAAATTATTGGGCTGTAAGCTGGATACCACTATTAAAGCAGCCAAGGTAGACAAATCAACACTAGATGACAAAAAAGTACTGTAACGCATCTTGAAAATAAACTAGAAATCTTCCAGGCTACAGGTGAAAAACACATAACATCCGTCTTCTCTTAAACGCATTAAAGATGATTCCAACCACATCAATTGAATGATCAGAGTATTGCTGTCTTTTCTGTATTGATCAGAGTGTTGTCCATCATTATTATAAATTTTTATGTTTTATTTAAAAAACGAAAATTACCTGTCATTGAGAAGTTTGATCTAAATTCATTTTTTTTCTATAAATTTGCAACTCAATTCAAAGATATTTTAGTTGTAAGCAGTTTCCAACAAACTTTAATAAATTTTTTCTATTTGTAAAAATTTCTACATAATTCAAAAGTAATTTTTAATATATATTTTGCACAGCATTATAACTATTATGATTTTGGAAGTTGCAGAATGTATTAAATACTTTAAAAACTGAAAAATAATTATATCATTTGATTTCAAGATATTTTTTTTATATTTTAAAAATAATTAACTATATCCTGGGATTTCCCAGGGAAACAGTTCACTTTTTTTACCAGAATCCCGGGACAAGCAAAAGACCAGGAAATGAGAAACCCTAATTTTAACAAAAATTACATTAATTAATAAATTATATCTTTTTTTATATGTTCAACACATTTAATTAGTGTATAATAATATAAAGCAATAAAAAACACAGATATATTTATATAATTTTTCTTTTTATATTAAAATTCCTAGTAAAAATTTTTAAAATGATTTTAGAATAATTTTAAATAAAGATAAATTTCATCTTTTATTCATTAACTTATCATACTTTTACTTTTTCTGTATATATTATTTTAATATTTAATTAAAAAGTGTATATTTTCATCCCAAAAAATCATTTAAGAAATTATTTATGTCTTTTGTTAAAATTTTTTAAATGTGTTAAATTGAACACTCAATGTGGTAAACCCTTATTTAAGATAACCTTTATAGTTATGTAAGTCAAATACTATAATGTAACAAACATTAAAAACAAAAACCATATAAAGAGTTTATTTCAGTCTAACATTGTCATGTTTATTGCGATACTCGGATGGTATGAAATGGCACACTTTCAATGATTAAGCAGACAGGAATTGAAAATATATATCAAAAAACACCACTAACCAACACCGGAGTGAAGTTATTTACATCCCTGAAAGCCTGTTACCAATATGAACTCCAATAACAACAAAAAAAAAAAAAAAACAGTTCTTCACAAACAGTGGCGGAGCAAGACCTAAATTTGACGTGGGCAAGGTACATTTTGTGAGGCCCTCTGGTGGCGCAAGAAGATGGATTTTATAAAATAAAAAGCAGTTTAAACTGTCAAATTTTTATTCATAAAAATGCAAATTATATTCTTTGACTAACATTAAAGAAAAATTTAAAAAAAAATAAAAATAAAAAAAGAATTAAAGAAACAGAAATGCTTTTAGCTTTACTGAACTCCTTAAATAATAGCGGCCGGATGGCCGAGCGGTCAAGGTGGCAGCCTACCTGGGGGACCTGGGCTCGAATCCGAACGGGTCGAAAAATCCCCAGGAATTTTTCGGGAGGTGGTCCGTTTGGATATGTCGGGCCCCGTCCCTCACCACCTGGCAGCCCCATCATGGGCCTGACCGAACCCATAATGGGCTTGCAAAAAGAGGCCCTCTTAGTGCCCACAGGCGGAAAGAGTTTAAAAAAAACTCCTTAATAATTGTATCGTAATTTAGCTTAGATGCTATATAAGCTTCAATAGATAAAAGTGCCAAAGCTGAAAGTCTTTCCAGGCCCATTGTATTTCTTAAATAATTTTTTATTAGTTTTAATTTTGAAAAGCTCCTTTCAGCGTAGGTTGGAAGTCACTGCTCTCACCCACTCGCAGGACTGAGTGTAAATCTTGACAGTTTTTTAATATTTGCTCTTTTGGAATATTTTTTAACTCGCTTAGATCATAGAGAAAAACCAAAATTTTCAAAATGTCGATTTAAAGACATAAATCTCGAATCCATATTGCTTATTATAGAACCAATCGTGGTGTTAAATAAGTCTATTAAGTTACCAGAATTCCTAGTGCCGTCGTCTGTCTTGAGAGATTCTCTGTGACCTCTTAATGCCAGATTATGAGAGGATAAGAAATTAATGATATCAATTAATCTCTCAAACAAATTGTGCTAATGTTTTTGAGATTCACGAATTAGCCTTTCGTTTTCTTGGTCTCTTATGTCAATATATTTATCGTTTTATGACGAGTAAAATTTTTCCGTTGCGTTCACAGCTTTTTTAAGTAATGCGTAAACCTTCGAGGCGCGAGGCCCCTCGGACCGCGAGGCCGTAGCCCACGTCGCCCACGCCTTACGCCGCCTCTGTTCACAAACATTTTTGAACCATAAATGATTGCCCAGGAGGACGTCATCAAGAAACACATATTTGAATTTCAAATCATGTTCTTATTTAATTGCATTCTATCAGAAATTTGCCTTCACCTGAAGAAGAACCATTCATGGTTCGAAAACATTTGTGAAAAACTGTTTTTTGTTTTTTCATCATTATTGGAGTTCACTTTGGTAACATGCTTTGAAATATGTAAAGAAATATATATCTTAAATTTTTTGGATATCATAATATTTTCTAATGTTAACTCTAAGAAACTGTACCATTCACAGCCAAATATCAAATGATAATCTGCCAAAAAAATCAAATTTTGAAAAAATGGACCAAATATTTAAACTTGGCATCTTCAAAAATCACTTAAATCATATTTTGTGCTCGCCAGTAACTTTGTATTATGTAATTTTCCTATTCAAATGTCACCATACCACTGATCTGACAGAAATTTGGAACTATTGCAGAAGGAAATTGAAGTAATTCAACCAAAAGTAGTTGTTGACTTCTTCCCAGAAGAGAGGATGCTCAACAACTACTATTTAATACTGATCTACTATTAATATTTAAAAAGTGATCCATGTTAGACAGGTTGTGATGGCCTGCATGTGATCAAAGTTGCTAACACCTTAATGTCTGAAAGACTTCATATAAAACTTATTTAAATAAAAAAAACCTTGAAAAATTCTGGAATAATTCCTTTTGTGATAATAGTCTTTAAATTTTGGCAAAATATTGTATAAACTACATGGGAAGTATGTTCTTGTAAATATTGCATTTATAAAAAAATTATTGGACTGCAATTTTAAAAAATTGTAGACCTATAAATTCTCACTGTCATCCATCCATCTCTGTCCTTTAATCTTGAGAACTAAGTTAAATAGAAGAAAGTGAAGACCAGACATGGAAATAGTAAGAGAAAGAAGACCAGATTAACTATATATGAACTTCTGATTTGTACTGCAAGTCATGTTATTTCAATTCAAAATTTTTCCCCAAATGGAATTAGATACATAACCAGCACAACTCTATTGCTAACAGGAAAAGTATGATGTACAGAAGCAAAACACTACTACACTCCATATAGACAAGTGCTATGTGCCACCTGTCACAGTAATGGTGCATCTATTTTGTGCTATATTATTGTTGCAGTAATTCAGTGAATATAATATATATTTTTTAAAATTACATCCGTTTTTGTAAGAATTATATTTAGTTAATTATTTTGTTACATTTTTTCCAATAGATCTAACATGTAAAGTCAGCAATCAAATGTAGACAAAAATGAATTGATATATAGAAATCAAATCAATAATTTGGAATGGGATGTATGACATGATCTAAATTAGAAGTATTTGAATGTAACTGCTGAGTTTTGTAGCAACTGGTCGAACAGCCTAGGCATGCATAGCAAACAAACAAGTACAGTATGCAAAAAAATTATTAATAATTCCATTAAAAAGGAATTAGAACAAATTAAAAGAAAATGCAACAATTTGTTTGTCTTGATCATACATGATTTAATTGCAAAGTTTGATATTTCCAAAAATTTGGTTTGAAAGCATTCAGAGAACTTGGGTTACATTTTGTGACAATTATAAATAAAATTTTCAGCATAAATGTAAAAGTTTTGATACTATAGAGAGCTGGACAAGAATGAATAAATTAATGATAATTTCAAATCATTGACATAAACTATAATAAAAATTTCCTTATATTTTAAATATCAATATATAAGAATAATTGGTGCAATAAGTTTTTATCACTATACACCCTAAATGTGTGATCACTCATTTCATTATTACAGATATTAATTACCAATTATTTTTATAGCTTTATATTCAGAAAGGTTTACATTTAAAGTTCAATTGTCAATATTGTTACTTTTATTCTTTTTTTTAAATGTTCTATCTTATTAAATTTATATATAAGAGTTGTTAGATTTTTTTTTATTACAAAACTTACTGTATTTCTGTGCAAGTAAAAGCATGCTCTTATATGTAAAATTCACTAGTTTTCAAAGTTCTGAAACCTATGTCCTGCTTTGCATGTAAGAGCATACTTTTATGTAAGTAGCTTTTTTTTGGCTTATAAGACTTATAGTAACACTGTATTGCTGTGTCAATGTAAATTAAATATAAATGTACTGACACAGCAACTATTCAATGACATCTCTGTGGTAATCATTATTAAAAATAAAAAAATGTTTCCAATACTATAAAAAACTTTTATAGTAGTTTTTTAACAGTAGTGAGTTTTTACAGTATTTTGTGGAATATAGTGTTGATTTTGTCCCACTATAAAAGCTTCTCTTATAATCTTATATATAATCATTTTTGCATATTGTGAGAAAGCACAGTATGCAAAAATGATTAATAATAGCTTTAAAGTTTGAAACCAAAATTAAACAGACTGCTTTGTTAGGAAGCAAAATATTTCTATAACTAGAAAATATTTTTGGCCATTATTTTGACTATCATCAACTTACAAACAACTGAACAATGTAAAATAAAAATTTAAAACAAGAAGCATTCAGTGAAAATTATCAATATTTTTATGATTTAAAAAAGCAACATTCCAGAGAAAAACTATAATGATTGTTTTTCAATACTAAATATCAAAATTATCACATTCAGTAATGTATATGTAATGACACACTTTTTATATCTCAAACTAATTATTGTATTTAAGCATATAACATGCAACTTTTGTCCAAAAAGCAGGTTCAAAATGATTGCCTTGTGTCTTATATGAGAAATATGATCTTCAATAGACTAAATAAACACCCCAAATGACTTTCAGTAAGTTACAGGTAACCTTTACATAGAGCAACTCTTGAATAAAAATGTTATTGTTTAGTTAAACATATTACAGTATTATTATTAATTTTGTTTGCTGTAGCTAGCAACTTTTGCATGTATTCAAGTTGAATATTTTAATGATTTAAATAAATTTTAATTGTAAATGACTTCTTTTCAACTATTTTTCTGTGATACATAAAAGTGTATATTCTAATTTTACTTTTTTAAAAAGCAGAATACAGTAAAAAAATTTCTGTACAGATTGCCAAATGCATGAAATTGCTAAAATACAATAAATATTTTTTCCTAACTATTCTGTGCTGAAACAGGAGTCCATCTTATATGCCACAAAATATAGAAATCTTTAAAAATTTTAAATATTTAGTAATATATGTAATAAAGCAGAGATTAAATATTAATTTTCTTAAGTGTAACAAATTAAATTGCATAATAGATGGATTCTTTTTAATAATCAAATCTCTGTTTAAATTTGTTCATTACCTATTTCAGAAATACTGTAATATCAAACTGGAAGTTATGAGTAAAAGAATCAGAGAAAGTTTTTCAATCAATATTTTGAGTATTTAATAAATAATAATCCTAATAAAATTATACAAAACATTAGAATTAGTGAATTAAATAAAATTTAAATATTTTAAAATGTCAAGAATCACACCTACATGCAAAATTCCCAACAAAAACCCCTAACTATTGTTTGTTTCTTTATAGACAATACTCAACCCTCATTTGAAAACTTTCTCATCTACACCATTAGAAGAAAATACTACTGTATTCATTATTTAAAAATGATATTGACTGGGATATCATCAGTCGCGAAAACGATTTATCTCACACATTCATTTCAGAATTTGCAGATAAGTTAAATTGGGAATATATGTGGAAAAATTACATATTAAGTATTAAAATATTAAAATTAAAAATCTCAGCCCAGCATTGAAACCATGTCACAATAAATAATTGCTCCTTTATTATGAATATAGAAATCGTACTGTACAGTATTTGCATATACAGTAATATCCCGAACTTACGCGATAGGTGGGACCGAGCGATAACCGCGTAAGTCGAATTCGCGTAAGTCGGGGTATAATTTCACAATTTGTGTAAAATCCAAGTTGGCTGTATATAAGCTAATAAATGTTCTTGTTAATCTTATCTCGTCTTTTGATTCGTTCACGGTTACAAGAAATTACCACATAGAGTCTCTCAAGTCTCCGTAGATATAACAAACACAGAAATAAATAACACAAAATAAATTGTAGCTATATGTCGATTCTGCATGACACGTCCGAACATGTAAGCTGAACAATAGTGTGGGGGGAATGAGTAATCAAGAGTTGCGTGGCGCTCAAACAAAAGACGAATCGACGAGATTTGAAAATCACGTAACTCTGGGTTCGTGTAAGTCGGGGTAGCGTAAGTCGGGGTATTACTGTATAAGTATTGTTTCTATGATATAAAAATATCTTATAATGTTATTATCGTGTTTAATTGTTTGATAGATTTGTCTAAGTAAGTTAAGTTTAAAACTTATGCATGTACAAAAATGGAAAAACCTGTCAGTAATAGTCATTAATATACTGTAATATTTAAAATGTTTATGTAACATTGTAATTAAATAAAAAATTTGAAAGCTAAATTAAATATCATTATTTATCATTTGTTAATAATATCTCTGTTTAAACAGCTGGACATAATATAGTAATGCATCTATTATTTCATTCTATTACTATATCAAACTGAAAACAAAATGATGTAAGCATCATTTCATTGTCAGTTTGATGTAGTAAATTATGGGTTTACTATGTCTTTCATTATTCATAAATATTTCATCACTTCCATTATAAAAAAATTAAATAAATAGAAAAGTATTTTTTTCAGTAAATAACAGAAACATAAATTGTTAATAAGTATTGTTTATATTTTCATTTTGATATAAAAAGAAATAAAGAATAATACAAAAATTTAGCATAGTTATTAATAAATTTCCTACATTACTTACCACTCTTTTCAATGTATTGACAAATTCGCATAATAATGTATGGCACTGGAGTATCTGAAGAATTTTTTTGAATTAAAATTTCCAGAGGAGTGCCAAATACCTTTGAATTTGTATGATTAACTGGTGATCTTTTCCTTGTTAATGGTGAACTAAGAAACTTTCTCATTCTCTCTATACGACTTTCTCCACTATCATTATTTGGCTAAAATAACATTTTAATATATTTTAATTATAAAGATCAATATACTATAAACAATAAAAACTAATTATTCTATAAATTAATAAATTTAATACTTTCTAAATATTAATCTTTTTTTGTTAGGATGTTAGTAACTATAATGATGACAAACTTATGATATTTATATTTAATTTTTTTAGTTAATTTGCAGATGAAATATATACTCGTATATATGACATTAAATTAAATTATGAGATAAGCAATTCCATTGACATTAGCCAGACTTCAAGATGACTATATTCAACAAACAAAAATTGAATCAGGCATGATAAAATGATATATTGTAGAACAAAATTTATTATAATATCATAGACAAATTAAGTAGATTTATGTAATTCATAATAAAATTAATAACTAAAGCAAAATTGACAGTTAAATATTTGCTATAATGTTTAAAAAAAAACTTATTTTTTCAATATCAAATTTAGACATTTTTAATATTAATTATATTCATCAATTAAATAAGATTTAGCTAATACTCCATAACTTTCAAAACTCATTAAATTATTTCAAAATCAAAATTAAATAATGGTTTATAGCCCTCTTCATAATTACTATATTACACTAAACCATTAAAATTCAAAAATACTGTACATTAAATTATTAATGCAACTTATGTTATTTCATTTTTCCATTAAACTGGAAAAGTGAATATCTAATATTTGACTCATTTGAACATTTTATATTTTAAAACATAATAAGAGACTATGAACAGTACTACTACTAAGAAATTAAATTTATGCATTATTTAATTAATAATGCATAAATTTGCATAAAAATGTGTAGTAAATTAACAAAATAAAATAAGCAAAATACTGCAAATGACATGAATATTATTAATAGAGTTTTAAAAAAATTTGCTTAGATTTATAATTTCATAAAAATTTCTATGAAATTCCATTAATTGTTTGATAATGTTAAAAATAGCTTTCAAAATTTAATTTTGGAAGTTGATAATGTTTAAGACATGATGGGTAATAAATGATGATAATAAATATACATACATAAACATCTTAAAGACCAATGATCTTATCAAAGCCAAATGATTATTGGAATAAATTGGGCTACATTCTTGCTACTAATAATTATTAAATACAAGTAATTTGGCACTAGAGATAGGTGTTAGACTCCATCTCATATTAAATTTAATAATTATAATTAAATTAATATTTATAAAATAATTTAGAAATTTCTGAAAGAAAATAATTGGCCCAGAGTGGAATTTGAAGCTGCAACTGCTGCTTACCATGCAGATGCCTTGACAGTTATGCTACCCGGACCTCTGTCTGCTCCCTTGATTCCTCTGGTGCCAAATTACTTGGTATTTAATCATTATTAGTAGTGAGAATGTAGCCCAATTTAATCTGGTAATTGTTTGGCTTTAATAAAAAGTACATTTTATATCAAAAAACTTGTTCAAAATATTGAAATATCTAAAACAAAAGTTATCTAAAGATTTTGTAAGTTCACACAATATTGTTATAATTAAATCATGATGCGACATTACTTTATATATTAATTTTGTTTGTTAACAGAATTATGTTTTAAAAAACAAACTTTGTTTATTATACAATACAAAACTATCACAAAAACATATTAAAAAAAAAAGCTGGTATAAAAAGATCAATATGTGAAATCTCAATCAATTCTTTTAATGTGCAGCTTATAATAATATAAAATTAACTATAGACATAATTACCATATTTCAAACAAATAAGAGCATGCTCTTATATGTGTGGAAATATCATATATTTTATTAGAGAAAATAGTTTAAATTTAATCAATTTAAACAGTATGAATAAAACATGCTACACATGTAAAAGATAATTTACGAATAATTAATAATATAGATAACATAATATACATTATTTGAAATAATTATATCTGATTTTTTTCTCAAACATTCACAACTTGTAACATGATATTGAAGATTAAAAATTTTAAACAAATTATGAATTAAATATGTTTCAATTTGAAACATATTAAACCTTATTTTAATTCTACTTAAGCTAATTTCACTTTTAGAAACCATTCTAAAATATGCAACTATTCACCAAGCAATTATTTATTAACTATTTATTGGGCTATATTAAGGCTAATTAATAATCAGATAGTAAATAATTTGGCAAGAATTAGGCAGCAAAACTACCATCTTATAATGATAAATTTAATAATTATAAATAAATTAAATTTTACTTTTAATTTAGAATATCTGGAAGAAAAAAATTGGCCCAGAGTAGAACTTGAACTACAATTCCTGCTTACTGTGAAGATGCAGATAAGTAACCAGTAAGGTTACATCTAAATTAATTAATTAATAGCTCTTGGAGCAAAGATTGGATGGAGCTCAGATAACATAGCAGTTATGCTATGTTATCTGAGCATAGCAAATAACATAACATAGCAGTTATGCTATGTTATTTACTATGCAGATAACATTATACTATGCAGATGCATTTCCAGTTATCAACTTAAAATTCTACCATGGCCAATTCTTTTCTTCCAAAATATTTTAATTTTAAATTATTAAATTTATTATGAGATGGCAACTTAACTACTTACCTCTAGCCAAATTGCTTAGTATCTGATTATTAAATAGCCTTACTATAACACAATAAACAATCTGACAGATCATTTGGTAATACTTTACTAGTGTAATAGGTTGATGTATAAATTATGTTATTATAAGTTAAATATGAGAAAAACAAAATTTTTATAAAATAAAACTAATATATATTATTTATCAAAATTTCTATTTTTGTTTTCTCCATTCTGTTTTCATTAAAAATATTTTACAGATTTGATAAAGAATACTTTTTAGTAAATTATAGATAATTTAAAATCAAATTTTAACTAAATTATCATAATTATACTAGTATATGATTACTATTTTTATATATACAGTCGACCTCCCTATGGAATTCATATAAAACGGAATTATCAACAGTTATAACACTGTTGATAATTCCGTTTTATATGCATTCCATGTTGTACAAGTCACTTTGTACAACATGGGGTTGACTGTATGTAAGAATTTGCTTTCAATTTTCTGCCAGAGTCATCAAACATTAAAAAAAATATTTTGTCCATAAAAAAATAACTATCTAATGATTCTAACAACTATTCATGCTAAATGCATTTAGTATCCTTGCACTCAACTATATATATATAAACAATTTCTTTTAAATGCATGACATTGATCCATTTCAGTCTGACTAAACAGCTGATAAGAAACTATAGCACTACTATGAATTTTTTTTTCAGCTTCAAGTTTAATAGATAATTTAAATTATGTACTGTACATGGATAATTTAATTTTCATAATCAAAATCATTATTTTAATAAATTGTTCTCAGAGAAATTTTTTATGAATTGAATAATTTTGTTGTTAATAATAATAATAATAATAATAATTATAAGTTACACATAATATCCAAATCAATCATATATATTTATTTAATTTCAAAAATCATATTTAATCAATACAAAAAGGTTTTTTATATATCACTAATCCTACAAAGGATTATATGAAAAGAATTAAGTAAATATTTTAATCTAAATTTAATATATTCTTTACCTGATTAGACGTCATCATATCAACAGTTTCTGTACTAGCACAAACAGAAGGTTTCCGCATCGTCATACACAGCAGATTTGTTATTAAGTGTTTGCTAGATACACTGTGATCATAAAGCAAAATATACCATTGTTTGAATTAAAAATTAATATAGCAAAAATATTATGTTATTAAATTAGTTATTTTATTAAATTTAATCACTTTAAACTGAAGATAAATTCAAATTTAAAAATTGATGAATATAAACTTATAACAGCATTTTATTTATCCAGAGTTTATAATAAATTAACTAATGTGTAGATAAATGAAATTCTGTTCTCTAAATCGATTATTATCTAAATTTTGAAGTTTTCAATAAAGAAATTATATTATTAAAACTGATAGCCTGTAATAAATTTGATTTTGAAAAATATAACAAAAATGTGACAATACTATTATCATTTAATAAGGTAACAAACATGATGAAAAAGTAATAAATTACTATTATCAATATTAAAAAATAATTCTAACAGATTTTAAAAATAATGCAGTGATAATTAGTAACTAATACTTTCTGTCAATTAAAAAGAAACAATCTTTTATTATTATTTTAATTTCACTAGAAGCAAAAATTAATATAATTTATTTTTTTATAAATAAAATCTCAAAATTTGTCTAAAAATTACATTCAATCAGACAGTTTATTTTAAAAACAAGCTACAAATTATCAGTTCTTCTTAATTTTTCTTCTTCTTTTTTTATCTTTTATCAATTTCATTCAAAATATTTACATTATTTGTTAATAAACCTAAAAGCTTGTTTAAGTATAAATATAATTTAAATCTTTCTGGAAGTTATCTAAGTGCAGAATGACAGGAAGAGATGATCGTTTGTCAAAGGAAGTGAGTGAATGAATGAGTAAGAAGGAAAAGAAAAAAAAGGAAAGAAAGAAAAAAAAAGCAGAGCAGACTGGGTGGTCAATTGTTAGTTCACAAGAACATCTCTTAAAGTAATTTTAATCTAAATGTGATTAAAATTTATGTTGATAGCAATTTTCCAATAAATTATCATTACAATGTTAGTTAATAAGATAATTTCTTTAGATAATCATTATAAATATTACATTTTAAATAAATAAAAGCTATGTGTAAAAAACAAACATATATATTATGAAAAATAAATTAAAACATTAGCAATTACTATACATAAACAATTTGTGCAAAATAATCTCATAATGATAAAATTTCTACTTTAAATTTTACCTACTATAAAAATTCCTTATATACTGTTATGTCCTTGATTAATTATAACAAACAAGTTTCTTGTAGTAACAATTATATGTAATTATCTTCATATATAATTATACATATCAAGAAATTTTCTTTATTTTTGTATTTGATATGTAGAATAATTTAAAATAAACTCTCTATCATTATAAATACAGTATATTATTCATAATACAAGATTACAAAACAGCATCAAAAGAAAATCCTCCTTGAAATTCTAATAGTCATAATCATTAACTTACTGTAATACTAGTACAAAAGTTAAAATTTATCAATAAGCTTATAACATTTATATAGTTTACATTATAGATAAATATATTTCTTCTTTTAAAAACTTAGTGTCTAATTTTCTAAAATCATAACCAAGAAATTTAATATTAATGAACTGTATAACATCCAGAGAAATACTTTAATCTATGTGTTTTATTGTTATCTTAAACAAATTTGTTTTCGTTCTACCCTTAAGCAGCTTATATTCTTTATCTTATGTTTTCAAAAGTAATTTATGATTACTGAACACTTCAACTATGTCTTTTAAAACTGCATTATTTTAATTATATATATGTATCTTCATTATTCTATACTAAATTATCTTTAAAATTTTCCGCATTCATATAAATGCTTATAATAAGATTTTTCATATTTTTATCATCAGAATTTCTTAAAATTAATTGGAATAATATAATGATTTTATATTATAATCCAAAACAATGTGATATATGTAATTTTAGTACTATATATCACTTATAAAAATAGCCTTAAATTAAAGATGTTAACATAAGAGATTAAGATTAGTATTTATGTTCTTATTATACTGTATATAATAAATTAAAAGAAAAAAAATATATATATACATATATAAATTACTTGAAATTTAAATATAATCTATATATTAAAATTTGTTTCCTTCATCTTTATATGTAAAAATCCATTTACAGTAATTTCAAACAATTTTAATATTTAAATATTAGACAGATGTCATAAACTGTATTCTCTTATAAAGAACAGATGTTTAATTTACAACTAAAAGCATGTTTTGATTTATGAGAATTCACTTCAATTTTTTCTACTCAAGAAAACATGTTTTATCACAGTAATAAAATAAGACAGATATGTAAATAAAATTGTTACTTTTTTAGAACAACAAAGAAAAAAGGAGTACATATGTTATTTAGGATTCAGAAGTTGGTCAATAAAGAAAAAATGAAAAATATCATAAAATTTAAGACCAGCATTATGAAAGAAATGATATATATAGTGATAAATAGTGTTTATTACTAGATACTTTTTCCACTTGAAATAGTATTGATAGCCAAGCCACCTAAGAAATAAATCTTTGGAAGAGGAAAATTTTGTACCATTACAATCAATGCATGGAATTTATAGCAATTAATTACTTTTATCCAATCTAATAGAGCTAAACAAATAAATAATGATTTACTATTCAAAATGCTAAAATATTTATATTTTATTTAAATAAAGTAATAATTTGTGTTCTCTCATCGGAAGTTTCATAAATTTAATCATAATCTAATAAAAATAAAATGTTGTATTTAACTATTTAATTTTCATATTTAATTTAATTCATTTATCAAATACTATATTTCTTAGTTTTAAAAATACTACAGTTCTTCAGTGTCAGTTACACCATTGATTCTAAGACAAGTCATAATTTTGAAATTCCTTCCATAATCAATTTTATTAAGCTTTATTAAAAAAACAAGAACTTAGCAAAACAACACTAATGTCATTAAATAGGTAATATCTGGCAGCTTTATTTCCTTCATATACAATAAGTTTTCTTTTAATTCCAATTTTTAAACGTGTATTCTAAATATAAAAACAGCATTTCAATTAAATGCTCATTATCAGCAAAACTAATTTAAACTGGTATTATTTATCTGTAGCAAAAATATATACAGTATAGCCAAAAACATCTATTAGTAAATAATGCAGCATATTGTCTGTTTATGAAGAGTATTGTTTCAGACTATAAATATAAAATGCCATCAATTGTACAAAGCAGCTCTATTTCAAAAAACTGAAAATTGATTAAATAAAAATGTATATTAGTATCAATGAAATATAGTAATAGAAATTCTGCATTATTTTCAATTTTTCAATGACAGTACAGTAATTTTAAAAAACAATTTTTAAATAATAAAAAATTAACTTTATATATGATAGTAACTACTACAATTTTTTTCATTTATTTTTATGTAAATTTTAAAAATTGTTTACTTTATAGTGTAATTTAAATTCAAGAAAATAAAATATTACTTTACAAATATTACAATATAATGAAAATGTCTAAGCAGAACAAGTTTTATTTACAGTTCTGTCTCATTTTATTATTTTTCTTCCTGTGATAAAGTATATTTATTCCAAAAAAGAAATTATCTCTAGCAATAACAGCCTAACATTCATTCTTTCCTCTAATGTTCTGATATCATATCAATCCAGTAAATAGATAAGAAGTTTATGGAAACCTATATCAAAAGCATTGAAGATCTACTTATAATCATAATTCATTTGCAAAAATTTTCAAAAAGAATCCACAAAATAATTTTAAAAAAAACCATTTTAATGTAAAAGCAAAAATGCTTTTTTATATAAAAAAAGTGCTTTGATAAACTAAAAATAAAATTTGCATTAAAAATTTAACCGATTTAATTTATTAATTTTATGCGAAAACAGCAGTAATGTTTCATTTTATAGAAAAACATTTTATTTTTATTAGATTATGATTAAATTTATGAAACTTCCAATGAGAGAACACAAATTATTACTTTATTTAAATAAAATATAAATATTTTAGCATTTTGAATAGTAAATCATTATTTATTTGTTTAGCTCTGTTAGCAAACTTCAACCATTTGATATACTTAATAGATGACAAAAATGATTTTTATTAATCATTTCTACATAAAACTGCATTAAACAAGTAAAATGTTTATCAACTACATTATTAAATAAACTGTATTAAAGCATTTGATAGATTTAAATTTTTTAAACATTTAAACGTAATTTACTCTCAAACAGAAATTGAGAGTTTTAATCTACTTTTCGTAGATGTCAAGACTGAAATAAGTTTATTTTTTCAGCTTTGTTATTACATGTTAGGCAGAAAACAATAAAATAGTTACATATTGAGTTTTTCTTTGAAATTAATACATGTGTTTTTCTAAATAAGGTATGAAAACTGTATATTTTCATTTAACTGAGTGAAATTAATGTAGAAGAAAGTAAATAAACTAATAAATAAATACTTTTTGTTAATTTTCATATAAAAGTAAATAATATTTATCACTAAATTGCAACATAATACAATAAAAATTATGATGAAGTGCAGTAAAAATTTTGAAAATATTCTAATAAACTTATTACTTTTTAATTTTTAAAAAAATATTTTATATTACTATTTTATGCAAACTAATAAATTATGATTACAAAGTTAACATTAAAATATTAAATTTATAGAATGGTATATAAAAAATTTCAAAGTAACAAAACAGCTGCTTCACTAAATAACCTAAATTACAAAAAGGCTACATTAAACAGTGTAATCTTATAAAATTTGTGGAGTTTCATCATCATATATCAGCTATACCTCAAAGCACTATGAGGCAGAAGGAACATAAAAGGGACATTAACACTAATAAATGTAATACTGTCCTAGTTTTTTTGGATCTATTCCCAAAAAATCTTATAAGATGGGATGAATCCAGGATTGTTAATAAGTGCCTGATACTTTTAAGGCTAAAGTGATGATGCCTACAGCCCTCTAGTCATCCCCAGTCAGTAAGAGTGAGTGACCAGTATGGTTATATCTAAATTA